CTGTGCTAACTTGGAGAAATAAAGAGTTAAGAGTGAAATAACTTTTTCCACATAATCAGAGTAGTTCCATGAACTACTAGTATAAGTTTTAAATCACTAGAATAATATTTGGGGAGGATATAGGGGGGATGCATATTTTGGCAGGCTGGAAAAGCAAATTGCCAAAAAATGCATACCTGTGCTAACTTGGAGAAATAAAGAGTTAAGAGTGAAATAACTTTTTCTACATAATCAGAGTAGTTCCATGAACAGCTGGTATAAGTTTTAAATCACTATAATAATATTTGAGGAGAATAGAGGGGGGATGCATATTTTGGCAGGCTGGAAATGCATATTGCCAAAAAATGCATCCCTGTGTTAACCTGGAGAAATAAAGAGTTAAGAGTGAAATAACTTTTTCTACATAATCAGAGTAGTTCCATGAACAGCTGGTATAAGTTTTAAATCACTAGAATAATATTTGGGGAGGATATAGGGGGGATGCATATTTTGGCAGGCTGGAAATGCATATTGCCAAAAAATGCATCCCTGTGCTAACTTGGAGAAATAAAGAGTTAAGAGTGAAATAACTTTTTCTACATAACCAGAATAGTTCCATGATCTGGTGGTATAAGTTTTAAATCACTAGAATAATATTTGAGGAAAATAAAGAGGGGATGCATATTTTGGCAGGCTGGAAAAGCAAATTGCCAAAAAATGCATACCTGTGCTAACTTGGAGAAATAGAGAGTTAAGAGTGAAATAACTTTTTCTACATAATCAGAGTAGTTCCATGAACAGCTGGTATAAGTTTTAAATCACTAGAATAATATTTGGGGAGAATAGAGGGGGGATGCATATTGTGGCAGTCTGGAAATCCATGTTGCCAAAAAATGCATCCCTGTGTTAACCTGGAGAAATAAAGAGCTGAAAGGATTTCACCATTTCTACGTAATGACACTTGTTCTCTGAGCTAATGCTATAATTTTTATATCAACAGGATGGATGCAAATATTTCCAGGCTGATGAATTAAAATGCATTTCCTCCTACATTAACAGACTAGAAAGTTAAGCATGATGTAAAATGTTCTGCATAATGGGCCTCTGTTTTTTAATGCTTTTAAGCTGTTATGGTATCAAAAGAAAAAAACAGAATTTCAAACCATTTGCGGAGAACGTTTTCAACAGACACGGACTGAAAAAAGGTTCGACTCATATGTGTCAATAAAGGTGTAAAAACCGTATTTATTTCAAGTAATTCGCAAAATAAAACCCACCATTTTAGGGATTACATGGTTAAGAAACGTGATAATGTTACAAATATCTTTAAAATTTCCTCTTCGGTCATATTTCAGTCCGTTTTCTCGTCAATATGCGAGAGAACAGAGCGATGCGCGCTCCCGCGAGAGGGGATGCAATTTTGGGCAGGCATGCGTTTCTGGGCATAACACCGGTAAGGGTGAAAGGTTTGACATTTGCAAATGTATCAAGTCTTATCTGTGATTTCTATGGTTCAAGTGAGTTACTTCATTAAGATATGATGCAATAATTCTATCCTTACATCACCTGGGGACAAATGTGATTCATGTCTGCAAACAGTGTAAGCACTGCTGGTGAGCAGCACAAACAACCCACTCATGCACAAGCACACTTGAGAGTATCTGTGTGTAAACGCTGATGAGAGAGAGCGTAGATGAAGGAGAAGAATCAGCCGTGGATGGAGACAAGTTGCATTTATCTTGATGCAAGGCTGCAGCGTGTGAGCTTTTGTGTTTGGATGTCTGTGTGGGGGTGTGTGCGCTAGTCCCCTTGGATGAGCACACGCGTCTGAGGATGCAGCTGGGAGCATGAGTTCTGACCAGGAGGAGTATGACATGGTCTGTCAGAAAGCTGTGACCCTAATTGTTGACCTCTGCCTGCACAACAGCACCCTGTTGGATCAGGAGACCTGTCAGGATTTCCTCTTCGTCTTGACCAGCCAGGGCTTTGATCACAAAGACGCAGGTAAGTAACCGACCTCGTGTGCTGTGTGTTGTGTGAGAGGCAGCAGCCTTCCTTGTGTGCTTTCTAAAAACTAACTGCAAAGGATTTCTAGTTTGGCTGTTCTTTTCATTGTAGGGTCACAGACGGTTGTTCGGTCAGTTTCAGCTGAATGCTCAAAGCAATAACTACACCCTTAATAAGTTTTGTGACCCACCTATTGGAACAGAAGGGAACATAGGTGCGCGCGCAAATTCATATTGACTCCCCAATTTATTCCAGAGAGAAAGCATGTGTATGATTAGTAGATCATCTTGAGCCGAGTCGATTCCAGCTGATGTTGTCCAGACCACTAAACCAAAAAAAGAGATAAATGAATTCCTGTTTTGTGCCTCAGTAGATAACAAATGGACACAAGTGCAGCAGTTAGTGGAACACAGAAGACTTCTGTGTCTAAATCTCAACATCCTGAATGGGCTTTCTAACTTATTCATTAGCTGATATACACATGTATTTAAGGCATGTAAGCACATGTTTTGAACTCTTCAGGTAAATTATGAATCAGCTTCTTCATTGTTAAGCTCTGACTCCCTGTCTGATCCAGACAAGATTGATTTTACTGTCTTGGGTTTTCTTCTAGCAGAAACACTTAATTTAATTTCCTTCTCACATGCAGATAAAATACAGTAAGATATGATCAAAAGATGTCGAAAGCATTATTGTATTTCCGACTTAGAAGAAGCATGCCTCCATGAGCTTTTATCAGGTCGAGATTTGGAGATTTCATGAGTTAGATGTTAAACACTTCCTTGCAGCGTAAAAAGTGATTCATTTCCATCTGATCTCATGAAAATAACTACTGCAGAACAGCTGTTTTAGAAGCTTGTCAGAGAATACAATTGTGCCCCAGTCTGTGATTGTTTTCATAGATCTAATCTGTAGTGGTTTGCTAATCTTTCCCTTTTTACATTTCTCCTCAAACCAAAACGTATTGTCCCCTGTAGTGCTGATCTGATGTGCCGTGTTTATCTAAAAGAAAAGTTTTCAGCCTTATCCTCAGGTGCATGCCACAGTGGAAATATTATTTCTGGCTGTTTCTTCAAGAATGCTTTCCTGCTCACAGAGTGCATGTCACACCAATCCTGACCAAATACACTGTCACCTCACATCATCCTCAGCAGAGGCATTGAACGTACATCACAGAGCCAGTGGCGTCCACCACTGAGCTGTGGGGACACTAAATGCCATTGCACGTTATGTGGCCACTGATGTAAATTCCTTCTGCCACATGGAAGCTAAAGACAAGCTGCTTCTCATAATGTTGGAGGATGTCTAGGCTGGGGGTTGTAGAAGATGTCGTCTTGCATGTATTTTCTGTGCAACAATGCAGGAATCCCGCAGAGAGAATGCGGGCGATGGTATGGAGAAACCACCACTGAAATGAATTATTTAATTGAAGATTAAAGAGATTGTGACCTCCAGCTGTGGAGTCTAAAGCTTTATTGTAATTACAAACTTAACACATTAGTCACAGACAGACCCTCAGGCACACCCACTATAGGACTGCCTGGTCACTTGCAAAACATTTGCAATGCAAGGTTTATGCGTCTATTTAAGCCCTGGCAAGCTGTTACTTGCATCTAAACTGTGTGGCTTTCTAAAGGCTTTATGCATTAATTTCTAAGAAATGCATTCATAACTGTTCATATGCATGTAACCTAGAGCAGAAAAGAAAAACATCTGATTCCTAAACATAACTAATTGTGGCGTGTAGTTAGCATTTCATGTCTGCTGTCTTCTGAAAGGTTGTGGTACTTGTGACATAATGGAAAGAAAAAAACACTAATAGAGCACAATAGGAGAGAACCATTGTTGAAAATGGTTTAATTCATAATATTCTGTTTTAACAGAATGTAGAGCTTTACATGCAGAGGTTAAAAACTACAAATTAAGTAAATTTACTCAAAAATAACACATTCACTTTAGGAACTCATACAGAAACTATTGTTAGAACCTAAGCTAAGTTTTTCATTCACTAGCAGACAAAATGACAGTCAGTAGGGAAGCTTTTTAATATTCTGACTTTTCAAATTCAATTTCAAAGACCAGGATAGACCAGGGGTGTCCAATGTGTGTCTGGGGGCCTTTTGTGACCCTTGAATGAATTTTTTGTAGTCTTTTTTTTTTTCCTGCCAGAAATAGATTAAAACATTTTTGAGACCAACAAAATGTAAACTGCATTATTATATTTTTTTTTAAAGAAAACATATTTTGACTTTTTTGTTCCAGGCAATTTTGGCCCAAACTCAAAAAGTTTGGACAACATTGACTTAGACAAACAGTTTTATCTTTAAGTCATCAGTCAGGCATCTCTTACAATCAAGTTCTGGATTATAAACAATCATTTAGAAGTCCCATCCCAAATGTAAATTATCTTTTAAGATATTTTAACAGTTGTTGAGGTTGCAGTACATCATCTGTGGAAATCTAGAGGTGCTTGTGAGCAAAATGTTGCACCCCTGCATCTTTGGTGTTATTTGCTTTATGGATTAAATGCAGAGATGAAGCAAGGAGTCATTTATGAGCAAAATTGTGACATAAGAAGTAGTGGAATGTGAGGATATTGGGGCCTCAACGAAGGCTTATGCTGGTGTGGGCAAAATAGATTTTGTCTTCACCTGGGTAAAACGTTTTTGCTTGTGTGGTGCATTGAGAGGGTCTGCGGTTCTTCACTTGAGTTCTTATGAAGTATGAAATGTCATGGCTGGAAGTAAATTTATACTTGTTCTTGGCATCTTGAGTAAAAGAACAAATTTCTCGATTCTTGCATTTTTGATAGGACTTAAGAAGTTAAAAAACAAAACAAAACTAATATTCCGTCCATAATAATGTCACCAATAATAGGATCCATATAAGATGGCAGTAGGGCTTCAAGACAAATCTCTTTTCTTTCTTTTTTTTGACTTTTTCATAAGAGTTTCAGTGTACTTCTTTACTATGCATATTTTTGGTCACATGAAGTCTATAAAATAACTTCAATAAAGTAAGCCATTAGATATAGTTGGTGTTTGAAAAACTTTGTGTTCACTTTCAACATAAAATGTCAAGCAGAGCCATAAGTGTTTTGGGACACTTTTGTGAGTTTTGTTTGTGTTGTGCTCTTCTTCTCCCGCCTATGACCACCTTGACAGCTTCCTCCACTTATGTCTTTCCTTTTTTGGAATATCAAATCTCACAATAAAAGGATTAACACCAGCACTTGATTTCTAATTATGATTAGCCTGATAACTGTGATGGATCTTTCTGACTTAAATCTGCTACTGCAATAAATCACACAGTCTTACATCATAAAAGACACGGGTTACAGTCAAGATCTTATAATCTTGAGCTTGCACTGTGTAGCATGTTCAAATCCTGTAGGATTGTTTTTAAGCGTCACCATATGCTGGGCTTCAGCTCGTAAAATATGCAATAAAATACAATATTGCAAACACTATCAGCGTTATTGTGGTAATAAAACCTCCAAACACTCATCAACGTACTAAGAAATACACTTCCAAAATGATATTTTGTGAATACAATCACATGTCATTTCTGTGGTGGGCTCAGCTTTATCCCGAGCTGCGTTTATTCTTACAGATACAACAAGGTGTCGGAAACATTTCTCAGAGATTTTTGTCGACAGTGACAGAACTGTGGGCTCCACATCCATGATATGAAGCTTGTGTTCCTTACATCTCAAAGGTTCTCCGGTGTCTGTGGAGTAGAGTGAACTCATTGTGCTAAAAGAAAGCGGTTTGATATGATTTTAGCTTTGTGACATGGTGTATTATCCCACTGGAAATAACTCTGGCTATACTATGGACATGGTCAGGTGTAACAGTACATGCCCTGCTGGTTTTGTGTAGTTGTGTGTGTGTTTTGTGTGGCAAACTCAAGAATTAAATAACCATATACATGGTGAGGACTCTTAGATGCAGAATGTACATGTGCTGTCTTACACAGATATGTCCTTTGACTCTGTGTTCCTCTTCAGCACCTGGGACTCATCAGAATGGAGTTGCCCCCATAGTTTAAAGAACAAACCTCCTTCTGTCAAAAAGCCACACATTCCTCTACGCTCCATTAAATCACCAGTTTAAGGCCACACCAGTTTAAGGCCACACAACAATAAAAACAGTTACACAGCTCAATCAACTCGGTCAATCCTTTGTTAGGAAACACTCACAAATAATAGTTGTGTGTTATATTTCATATACCTAATGCAGACATGTTTTTCACTTGAACACACACAGGATGTTTATGTGCGGAACTAAAAAAAGCAATTCAGCATTATATAGTGTAACTTCAAAAAATGATGACACCAAGTCAAACTCTTTTTATCCAATCAGCCCAAGTTCCACTCATCTTATAAATGCCAGTCAGACGAAGCTCCTTTAATGACGGGGGATTTTCCCTAAAGCTGCAAATGCTGCATTCAGGTACAGCTGGGACACTAGTTTGTTGAAATTAAAAGACAACAGCAAAAGTTATTTAAACATGTTTAATTTTCAAATAATTGCACACTGTCTTATGATTTCTATAGATTAGCATAGGATGTTTTCAAAGGGTTTTATTGTGTCTCTAGCCAGGCATCGGCTTCTCATGCTACTTTATTCATTGAAAATAAATCCAACCAAATCTCCAGTCTTCAACTTTCCACTTTTTGTGATCTTTAGAACATTATAAAATCTAATAACTTTAAGGAAAAGATAAAAAGACAGTTTACTGCTGACCGAAGTAAAAAAATAAATCACATCTAATGATGTGTGCCACAAACGTATCAAACCGTGTTTTTGTTGTACCCAGTGGCTATTTGAGCCTCTTTAGCCTGTCATCTAGAGGCAGTTTGCCTGTTCTCCTCTGATCTCAATGCATTTTGTCTTTATAACTGACTCACACAGAATATGTTCCCCCTTTTGACACATTCTCTGATAGTTTTGAATATGCATCCCAAAAATGAGCAGTTTCTGATGCACTCACCA